CAAACGAGTACCGAGCATCACACCCAGCAGAGCGAGCATGCGACTGCGATGAAGCGAGTCAACATGGCAAGACACAACAACAAGAGCCGCATACTGGGTATGTCCGTCAACCCATTTGCCACCAAGTTCTTGATACCAGAGCTACTTGCTCTCTCCAAGGATGTTGAAGATGTAGACGGGGAGTTGGGGGGACTTGCGTGCAATGTTGATACTATCGCCAAGCGATACTTGAAAGATGCGATCAAGGACGTCTGCAGCGAGCATGCGTAAAAGACCACAGCAAACGGCTCTGAGAGGAGGGCATAACGTCAATGCTGACCGACATGCTCACCAAGCAGAGAAGAGGAGGCGCGCAGTATGAGTAGCGGAGCCTGAACAGAAGCCCCACAAGAGAAGGGTTGATCGGGTGGCGCCACAATTGACCTGGTTCGATCAAAGACTTCAAGCTGTGCGCAATCTTGACAAAAACAGGAAGAGAACACGTCCCGCTCCTCCGAATTATCAGCACGATTGGCACAAACAAGATAGAATGGGTGGAGAATGTGGAGCTGGTGGCCAAGCATTTTGACTTGTTGGAGTGGTGGGAGACACATGGGAAGAGTGCTTTCCCTCTTATCTATCCCATGGCAATCTGTATTCTTGCCGTCCCAGAGAGCAATGGGCACCAAGAGCGGACTTTCAGTGCCGCTACATGGATGGATGGGATTCTCAAGCAGCTCCAGCATGACATTACTTTCCAAATGAAGGTCCTCACCTACAAGAATTCCAAGTTCATGGATGAACACCGCTTCCACTTGCGGAAGGATCAGCTGGATAAAGCCAAACGTCGGCCTACAGACCTGTTTGGAGAGAATTGCCTAAGAAAACCCGAAGAAGAGATTCCCCCGCCTTTCAGGATATGCTGGAGTGGGGAGTGTGATGGCCATGAAGGCGTTGGAGGAGGCCCGCCAGGATGATTAGGCAGCCAGCTTGGGCAGGTCATGTTTGGTAACCAGATAGGTAGTTTCGTAACCATTTATGTAACCTATAACCTAACCTGATAGAATTACTGTATCTGGTTGGTAACCTATAACCAAACCAGATACAATTTTCTATCTGGTTGCTGTAACCTATAACCTAACCAGTTAAAAATCTATCTGGTTCTCACACCCTGGTCGGAATACGTACTTTTATTAATTAGTCTAAGTTGGTCTTGGACCAAAAAGTCGTTCTTTCAGAAAGAGGGACCAAGTCGACTTGCAGTTTCAGTTGATCATTCAAACGATTCGGCAGCGGTTCAACCAGGAGCTACCAAGGTTTAAAGAGTAATTTACCAAGTCAGAAAGTCATTCATGCCGCCATGTCGCCTCAATGGCCCTACCAGCTCTTACAAGCTTGATGGAGGCAGGTGGCATGACGAAAAAGAAATAAGAGATCATCACTCGCTAGGTTTTCATCAATACCAGTACGAGGAAGTTTGTTTCGGATTACCATCTCAATATTTCGGTTTGATATTCCACTATTCTACAATAGAGTACTAGTACGCTATTTTGTCGTATTCAATAGTTGGATCTAGTATTCCGTTTCAGTTTTGTACTTCTGTTTCGGTTTCATTTTCGGTTTGGTACGCTACCTGGTACCTGTTTTCAGGGGCAACTGCACTTTGGTTGATTATAAAAGCATTAAAGAGTAATTTACCAAGAAAGTCATTGGTTCAGGACAAAAGAGAAGGATGCAAAGGAATTTTTGATGCCTTGCAGGCAAGAAAGAGATTTCGATTCGATTGAATATTCCGAGATCGCTACTGGTACAGTTGCTCTACAGTGTATGCACGGTGATATCATCGGCTAGAGGTGCTCCCGTATGTGAAAAGTGAAGTTCAGTCGATAAAGACTTCAACTGGGACAAAAAAGACCGCGAATAGCCCCATCCTATTCTATTGAGAAAATTAAATGACTGCTTTACAAGGCGACGTGTAGTAGCTCGTGCAGTTCAGTAAGTGTGAACCTGGACAGAACAGGAATTAGAGCTTCTGGAATGGAAATGACCCGGTCTGTACTCGTAAAAAGATCACAAAAGTGAATCTTTCGCCCAAGCCCAAAGACTGCACGCACAAAAAGGCCGAAGCCCCACTTGAAAGCAACATCTATCTATCTTTATCTCATCAGACTACAAGACAATGGCCAAGGAAGAGCAGTTTTTGGAAGAACCGGACATGGACGGTTCCGTCTCTGAGGGATTGGAAGAGGAAGAATCGACCATTCCGGCCAATGCGGGTGAAGACAAGTTGGTGATTGCCAAGTCCGAAGACACGGGCGTGAGAGCCCTGCGCATCCTTACGGCCCTGGTGCTGGTGGGAGTGGCTGTGACTGTGTGCGTCGTGGTGTACAAGCAAACCCAAGCGAATGAGCAGGAGAACTTTGAACAGGGCTTTCACGAACATGGCGGAAAGCTCATGTCGGGTTTTGTGGTCGCCATGAAAAGTCGCGTTGGAATTGTCGAGGGCTTTGCCATGGACTTGACATCCACCGTCAATGATCCAAACACCAATGTCAGTTGGCCCTACTACATGCCGCACGACTATAGCAGGAGGGCGCACCATGTCTGCAAACTGGCACAAATTGGAATGCTGGCTGTTCTACCCAAGGTGGAAACGCTGCAATTGCCAACCTGGAATGCCTACATCAACCAACGCAAGGAAAACTGGACACGCGAGGCCCTTGCTTATCAGCAACAAGAGGTAGACAAACTACAGTTTCTACCTACCATGATGAAACTCATCGATGGCAAGGTAGAGGTTGAAGACGGGCCAGGACCTTACTTTCCCATTACTTGGATGTATCCGGCCGCTGGTTTCCCTTCCTATATCAATACCAATCTATACGGAAACCCTACAGGCGCACGAATTCAGATGAATGAAGCCCTCAACTCAACCACCATGAGTTTCGCAAGAAGCACCGAGTTCATGGATGGACCAAAGCCAGAAAGTCTGGTCTATCGGGAGTCTGGAAAGTACTTTCCGGGATATGATGGTGGACCCTACTTTCCTTGGTACTATGCTGTCTATGATTCATATCAGAGTCAGACAAAGAAAGTTGTGGCTCTTTTGGGAGGATACAGTAAGTTTTGTCGCTGCCTTGCCTTGCCTTGCACGTATCGTATGCCTTGTGTGTCTAACGCAATTCTCGATCAATCATGAAATGAAAACAGCCCTATGGACATCATACTTTACTGGAATTCTACCTGATGCAACTCCGGGACTCGTGCTCATTCTCGAGAACAAGTGTAACCAAACCTTCACCATGCAGATTGAAGGGGAACAAGCCAACATCCTGAGCAAAGGAGATCATCATGACACCAAATATGATGACCTTGCTATGAGTGTGACTGTCGATTCCATCTTTGGCCAGCAAGATGAAAATGACAACGAGGAAGAGTATGGAACCTTCAGCCCAAAAGCCAATGTTGGGAAATGTCACTACCGCATTCGAATCTACCCCTCCCAAGAATTCGAGGACAGCTACTACACCAATGCACCTCTTATCTTCACTGTGACACTGGCATCGGTCTTTCTCTTTACATGCATGGTATTCCTTGCTTTCGATTATTTTGTCGAACAGCGACAGAAGGCTGTCATGAAATCAGCTCTCCAGTCTGGACAGCTTGTTTCTAGTCTATTCCCAGAAGAAGTCCGAAAGCAACTCTACCAGGAAGAAGAAGCCAAAGCCAAAGCAAAGGAGCAAGAAAAGGGATGGCGTACAGCCAGCACCGCCGGAGGTGACACTATTTCGGGTGCGGCCTCGGATGGACTGACGGCCAAACAGGCCATTGCCCACTACTATGAGGATACCACGATCTTCTTTATGGATTTGTCAGGTGAGTCTAAACGTGTATTGAATCGTGCATGTCAGTCAAGTGGTACGGTCGCATCTAATTCAAATGCTTTTCTCCCTCGACTTCTAGGTTTCACCAAGTGGAGCTCCACTCGAACACCTGCGGAAGTCTTTGAACTTTTGGAGGCACTCTATGGGCAGTTTGACAGGGTCGCCGCCAAGCTTAATGTTTTTAAAGGTATGGAAGTGTACTCCGAGGCCTCACCACGGTGCTCCTTCCCTGGGGATTGTTTCTAACTTCATTTCATTTTCGTTCCTTTCCAACCAGTCGAAACCATTGGGGATTGCTATGGTGCGCATTATTTGCAGACTTACATTGTTGGTGTTGGTGTTGGTGTCATCAGTATCTAACACAAGATTTCCTTTCCTTACAAACTCTCTACAGTCGCTGTCACTGGGCTTCCAGAAGCACAACCGGACCATGCCTTGATCATGACCAAATTTGCTCAAACCTGCATGCGGAAGATCCACCCTGTTCTTGTATCATTGGCCCCTACCTTGGGGGAAGATACCCTCAATCTCGAAATGAGAGTCGGCCTGCATTCGGGCCCTGTTACCGGAGGTGTGTTGCGTGGCAAGAAGGCCAGATTCCAGCTCTTTGGGGACAGCGTCAACACAGCATCTCGAATGGAAAGGTAAGTCAACATCGCGCTCTCGGTGTATCTGGCTGCAAAACAAATAGCTAACTATCTATATGACTCTCCTCTCTGCTCTTGCTTTGATTTATAAACAGCAATGGTCAGCCTGGAAGAATCCATGTATCCGAGTCAACTGCCGAAGAGCTCCGCAAGCATGGCAAGGATGAATGGCTGACTGTTCGAGAAGACAAGATCACTGCCAAGGGAAAAGGTCTCATGACAACGTATTGGGTGAACCCCAAGGCAGGAGGAGCAACAACGACGAGAACTGGGAGTGTTGCTTCCACCCGTAGTTCAGTTTCCCAAAGGGGAGATATCCCATCAAGTGAATCGATTGACCTGGAGTCGGGACCTGCACCTGCGGCTGACAATATCGAAGAGTTGCATTCCGTTGATGTCTAGCTAGATAGCAAGTGGCTTGCTGCAAGCTAGTATAGCTGGGTTGACTCAAGCTCCGCCGACTGTCGGCTGTGACAAACGCTATAGGCGTGGCGCTCTTCCGTAATTAGATAACTTCTTCGTATATGAACTTCATAATTTGCGATCGTGTAAACACACAGGGCTTGCGAGCTATCCGCCACCTGAGCGTTGTGAACGCACGAGTCCCTTTTGACTTTTGCGGTCCAAAGCAACACTCTTGGCTGATGCATCGTTCACATCATCGTGACAATACGGAAGACTATTTGCTACTCATCCAAACAGCTACAGTTAGACTCTAGATAGCTAGTTCAGTCCAGCCTGGCCTCGGTGTCTTTGTCAGCCAGCTCAGCCAAGAAGAACCCGAAACCGCCAGCTCAGCCAAGAAGAACCCGAAACCGCCAGCCAAAGACTGAAAAGGCACAACTGGTGCGGCTCCTACATGTACATACAGTAGCGACTAGCTAGCTAGCTGGGTAGGGGTGGCTGATGAAGAGGTCACTGCAGAGGAAACTGAAAAAGACTACAGGCAGGCAGAACGGCAGGCAGCCAGCAACAAGGGATGGACCAATGACAACCGTGACCTGTATCAGTGCGCGGAGGTGAACAAGCAGCACACCTCCTGCCTTTGGTGAGCGGGCTTGTGGTAACTACAGTAACTTAGTGCCAAGGGTGAAAGCGGTAGAAGGCAGTGATCTGATTGGCTAATCAACCTATGACATCAGCAAATGCGTCAGCAAAGATTCAAATATACTTAACGTACCGTTTATAAAGATTACAGAGCTAGTGTGCTACCTAGTCGCCATTTTCGTGTTTCCGCAAAACGAAAAGAGGATTCCTTCCGTCGATCGACGACAATGACAAACCACCGGGAACAAACCACCGGAGAGCCACTCGACAGTCATTAACTTGGCCAGCAGCAGCAGCAAAAGAGGACCATGGGAGCCACCAACAGCAGCTACCACTCATAATGGAGGAATGGGCTGCCAAAGTAACAGAGGAACTCGCAACAGAAGAGAGCCTACCAACTGGCTGCCAACAACAACACAGATCCAAGAGAGCCAAAGAAGAAGGACCCAAACAACACTGGCAGGAGAGGTAGCAGAAGTCTTTGATCCACTCAAGAAGATGTGTCATCTGTAAGGCCAGACATCTTGGTTCAGAATCCCAAAAAGATCACACCACGTTCTCTGTGTTAAGAATACAGTAACAAAGAGAAAAGGATTTGAATGAGCTGACAATGGAACCATCAGAGAGAGCAGAAACTCACAAGGCATTCAGGGCTCCTCTTCCACTGAATGAGAGAGGAAGCTGGAAGCATTCCACAAAGAGAGAATGGAGATGCATTCTTCGCTGCTAGAACGAACACAGCAACCAAATCGAGCCGCAACAGAAGACATCCACAAGGAACACAACCAGCACAACTCCATAGCTCTCTGTCGAAAGGTAACCACTCTTGTAAAGGATTCTGCCTTTGTGGAACAGCACAAGACCAAAGGAGCACCACTGGAAATGCTAGCAATGGCACAATTAGTGTCAGAGTCCATTATCAGGCCAAGAAATCCACAACTGTTCAGCAAACACTTTGAAGGACTCAACATGACAGTTCCCTCCACATAGGAGCAATTCGAGTCTCATCACTACCACTCTATTGTTTGGCAGAAACTGCTTCTGGTGGACTGGAATCGATTTGGAATTACTGTACGTTGTCCCGATGGAAGATGTTCTGGCCAACTCAAGAATGCGAGGCATAACTGGTCAAAGCACAAGACCTTGTTCCCTATCTTTGGCATCACTGGAGCTCCATCTTGCATGTCATGCGAAGGTCATGTGACGTTGCAAAGAGAAGTTTAGCCAACAGTGTGAGGTACTCTCTCCTCTTTTCCC